CACGACGCTGACATACAGCACAGGAGGGCCGAATAACGCCGCGTACGTTGTTAAGGATAACAGTTCGGTCAGGTCAGATCCATCAGAGCAGAACACCACCGAATTCACGTACAGTCAACAAGCGGCCATCGTATCGGACGAGGCTTATCACGGCGGCGGTGACGTAGCTGTATATGCAATAGGTACACAATGAGTCACACAGGGAGCCTGGAGCGAAGCGTGTAACGATTATGATAATGATCGCGATGAATATTCATTTCGTAGGACCGATGTCTCACCTGTTTCACAGCGTGCACGAGCAGAGCTACGTTGCCCAGGTGATAGCGTACGCTGGAGACATGCAACCGATGGCAAACGGGACCGGAAAACACGTTCACAGTGTTCTTGTGAACGTTTGGATATGTTCCTCTGTACTTATTCTAACTATGTTATACTGGTATTAGGTAAATCTCGCAGGATGGAACGTGCAACAGTATTCCTATTAAAAAGAGAAGAGACAGTTGTGTGTAAGTAACGTATATTTAAAAAGAAAGACGGCGTAAAACATTGTATTTTCCTTATCGTATTTAAGTAAGTGGGGGACAGCAAGTGGCCACGAAAAAGATACACTTGGCTCCACTTCATCACAGATTAAGCCTATAAACTCGTTCAGTGGACGCACCAAGTCCTTCCATGGGCGGTCAAACGACTTCGTGAGATATATATATATATATATAGATAGAGTAAACGTTTTTTTTTTTCTTCACGCATTTATATATCTATATATATTTTTTTTATATCGTTATGCGTGTCGTGTTTCCCTCGCTTATATATCCTTATGTACAAAAAAAAAAAGGAGGAAAAAGAAAAAGAAAAAAATAAACGAGTTAAAACAAATTCTCAGTCTTCTGCTGCAGAGGATAAGGTGTGTCGCGACCGCGTGTGTGTGTATGTGTTCAGACAACTCCCTATAAGTATATTGCTCTCGATTCCTAGAAACACTTAATAATTCTCGGAATTACATTCTGTTTAAGAGTAGATCGGCGGAAAACGGAGAAATAATTACATACTACGTTAGGGTGTTGTTCGAAGCATTTCGTAAGAAGCTACATACAGGAAGAGTCGCGTTCGCGCGTCATCCTCTCCTATATCCTCTAACGCGGTTGCAACGACGATCTTGGCGCGATGTACGAAAAAAAAAAAAAAAAAAAAAGAAAACGGAAGATATGTGTTCGTGGAACTGGCAAGCCGACCGATGGGGGGCCGCTACCCGAGACCTTAACTACGAAGAAGCCATCGAAACGGTTGACGGAGAGACACGGGGGTGGTTGCATCGACCAGCTAGATCGTTACAGCGATAAACGTATCGGCGGGGATTACCGTTCAAGGTGTCCAAGTTGGGAACAACTATTGGAAAGGAGGCCAAGAGAGACTCTCAATAGTCTGTCAGGTCTACTAGCTACCCGTTGAACAGTCTAATCGCGGTATGTAAACGGCGGAACAGTCGATTGGTGGCGGGTTCATTGCACTTTGTTCTTTTCGTATTTGGCGGTGTGCTCGACCGTCTCGTGGAAGAGGATCTTCAACGAGATACAGCCGAGGAACAGCAGGGCGGAAGTGAGGAAGATGAAGCCTGGTGTGTACTTGCTGAGCACCATCAGACCTAGCAGTCCAATCGTCTGGCAGAGCAATATCAACGGCGCGAAATAAATAGCTACGGTTAGGAACAGGGGGCACTGTTTGTTCCGTTTCCGTCGGCCGAACCTTTCGATCCTGACTGTCGCTTTGCTAGTGGCGTTGCTGACATCTGTGGACTCCTGGAGCTGCTGTTGATGGTCATCCTGACGGATACCACGGACCAGGGACTGTCTGATGGTCTTGTACAGGACGAAGATTCGGGCTGTGACACCTTGGAGGATCAGACCGAAGTACAAATGGACCTTACGGGCGATCGGGTGGGACTTGGAGTTCTCGAACGAGTACAGTAGATACGGGAAGAGATTCAGATTCTGGCAACAATGGCGGATCCTCTGCATGGATGCGTGCCGAAACAGCAACGGTGGACCGTTTTTACTTCCATCTACGGAATAAAGAAGACATGCATTTAATTGCGAGCAGTCACGTGGTGATAATCGTGAAACTGTATGAAATCGTTTGGTTACGTCATTTCGATCGATCCCTAACGGGTTATCGGTCGATTGTAAACCGGCGAACCGAGGTTTCCTACCTTTGAGCATGTTTGATACACCATCCGTTTCCATCAGTCCTGCAGTATTCGACATCCTGCCGGTTGCTATTGCTTCGGTAGCGCTCATGGTATTCACACTTGTCTTTGGTATTGTTCCCGCGATTGTTTACGTTCTGGGTGGTCAAAGCACAGTGACTATCCGTTGATTCCTTCTGGAAACACAACAGAATTCTACGGTTATTTATTTGCCCAATCAACGCACAACGCAGTAGACCTGAAGCGACCAGATTTTCATCGAATCATGATTGAATAGTACAGAACACGGTGAGCGTACCACGATGGACGAAGGAACTTTGACGATCGAGTCGGAGGATCACGGAGAAACGTTTCGATCAGCACTGAACAGACTTTCAATATTCGCGTTGCCGAAGCTTTGCAACAGTCTGAACCGCAATTGCAGTAAATCTCAGGCAATATCGAAGGGGAATAGGAACGTGTATTTGGTGAAACATGCCATTTTGTTGTACCTTTCGTGGTCGTGAATTGTCATAGTCTAAGTCTTAGACTCTAAAACGACACCGAAGTGAACCTGTCAGAGGCTCTGGCCCAGTACGACGCACACCGTTTCGCAATGAGAGCAGTTTTATGACACACTCGCGGACCGGTTCGGTTGAACGTAATATACCAGGCCGTCTATGTCCCCCGTTCCCCTCCACAGATTAGTAATGTCGTTTTGTACAACCAGTGAACGCGCACGCCACAACTTGGGGGACTGGTCGTCGATCGTGGTTATCCATGTGCGTTGTGGAGAGCTCGATGGGAACAGGAATAGCATGTTTCCCGGGAATTCGTGACCCTCGACTGGTCAACCGCCACGCACGGTAGATTCCAGCAAACCTCGCGGAAAAAGATGAGGAAACCTTGTGTGCCCTTATTCGATCAATCCGCTTTTCTTCTTCTTCACTGGCGATTAAACTCTTCCAAGGACTATACGAATCTCTAGAAGTTATCGCAAAAACTGCCCTCTGCGCGAAAGGGCAGTTCAAACGATCAGTTTGTTCGCGACAATAGCTTGGTAATGATAAAATAGCTTCTATCCTTATTCGGTCAGGCGCTTTGGGTCTTTTCTGCACCTGTATCAACGGACAAATGTCACAGGGGAATAGAAGTGGACTAGTAATTAGGAAACTGACGGTTAAAACGATTATACTTAGGGATCGTGAATTCTACTTCTGTAGTTCCAAGTCCACCAACAGGACAGATTGCGAGTTCAAACGATTTATTTAGAAATCGTGATGGAATAGAATCGTGTATTCTGTGTTTGCAATTCAAAATTCACCAACAGGAGAAATTGCGGATTAAAACGATTTATTCAGGAACCATGAATTCTGCGCTCGTAGTTCAAAATCCCCAACAGAACAGATCACAAGTTCAACGGGTCGGTCTGACCAACCGGATTTAAAACCCTGAGAGACCAGCATACTCAATTCGAACAGGAGAGATTTTTTGCGCATTTGTCCGAGGAAGTTTCTCGATCAGTTCGGCGTCCTCTTTGTCCCCGTTGGATCGGTGGGAACGACGGACGTAAACACACACAGTGGGGTACGAGACCGTGGTCGATCGATCCTCGTCGATCAAGCGTCTGCGCCGTTTAATTATACGACGGAAACACGGGATGGACCGTTCCCAAACGTCGAAAGAGGAGGGGCCAATTGAGAGTGGTCAGGAGCTCCGAGCGCACGCGGGTCCATCCAGGATAAATTAAACGACGTGCCTAGAACGTTCCGACTCACCTTGGCTCTCTCGGGTGTTTACACGAACGATAGGGGACGACAGTCGTGTCACGGCGGTCCGCCACATAAATTCGCACGTATATAGGAACGATGGTGTTACACACGCCGGCTTGCTCGTCCACGGTCCAGACTAGCTGTACTTCTTGTAGAGTTTGAACACGATAGGGAACTCGCGGAATATGCCCATCCTTCGGTGACTGGACTGTGACTTTCCTCAATATTTACGAAAGAACCAGTGACGTTGGAAACGCGAGAGGTTCTCTCTCACGGACGCTCGATGGCTGAGTAAAATGCGCCAGTGGTAAACCGTCTCGCCTGCTGCTTCTACGGCTGAACACAAACAACTACTGAAACCTACTTGCGGCACGACGTTTGACGCTCTGGTGGCGACCTCGCATCTCCCTAGTATGAACCTAGTCGCGATATCGGACGAGTCCATTGGTCCGTCCTAGTGTATATTCGACGGAGCGTCTTTATTGGTCGGTGGAACGGTAGACGAACCAATTGACGCGCGTCTTGGAGAAGTTCTAACGAGGACGCCGCGGCTGCGGCAGATTAAGGGCCGTCTGACGGAAACGTTAGAACAGTCACGTAGTACGTAGTGCATCACGAGCTAGCCACGTGATCTTGGGAAACTGTCTCGGGCCCTTTAGGTAGTCTTCGTCTCTTTCTCTCTATCTTTTGGTTGCTAATAGCCCTCCGACCATTACACGTGGGGTCGGGAACTGTGCCGCGGGTGGCGGGGGTTGGTATTGATGCAGCCTTGAAACCAAGGGATTCCGAATTTATTTCGGAGCGGGACAAAGGTTCTCTGGCAACGATTCGACTGGATAGATTGTTGTATATACGCACTTCTTCTCGAGCTTTGTGCGGTGGAGGATGATACGAATGAAGTAATCGCGGAGAATTTTTGTTTGTTTAATTGGGTCTGTTCATTTTTCGTTCCCCTGATGGCGGAGGTATACTTGGTTGGGATAGGGATTGGCGTATCCATTGTCTGGATGAAGTGTTTGGAATAAGGAATAGAAGATAAAGAAAAGTAAATCGCTAGTTTTTATGGTTTATACCTGGAAATTCTGATTTTTATAATAAAATAAGAGTTTTTGATTGGGTAGACACATTTGATAGATAATGCTGTAGTCTTGTTAACTGTTTAAAGATCAGAATGAGGCTATTGGATGCTGGTAGTTTTCACTGTCGATAATTCGGGTAAAATTGTGCTGAACTATAGGTAATAATAACAATAATATTTATTGTAGTTAGAATCTCTCTAATTCTTTTGTATTTCACATTCAGTTGCATGTACGTAGTTTGAGAATCGACGAAATTTGGGTATACAGAGGATATCTAGAGGAAACCCAAATCGTTACAAACAACGTAAAGCCCTTTAATAACAATAGTTTACTAAACACAAAACTATTCTTTCTGTCCTGTAAAAGAAATTCTAAATTGAACGAACAATATCGTTTACGTGGAACACACGGTATATTAAGAACCATTTCCACAATGGTCACTTTGGGGTAAATAATCTTCTCGTCAGACCGTTGTTGCGTTAGGGTCCAATGGGGTTAAGGTCCACTGGGATTTCCAATTTACCTGCGGCTATTTCAATCGATCAGAGGAAGGTACAGTCCAATCCATACTCTCGCAACAGAAATAGTCAACCGCAGAATGATTTCCAAGCAAATGGTCCCGAGTAGACCATTCGTTCAAGCTGAAAAACGTGCACCGAATCTGATACCACTATGGGACACGTGATCATGGCTTCGAGTTCGAAGCAGTAAGCACGTGTTCCCGCGTGGGTGAAAGCATCGTTAATCTGCGTATCTCACTCACTATCCCAATTCTGACGGACGTATTACCGACACGTTCCTCTCGGTCTGAGTCCAAAGTTCGATGAAAAAATATGTTTATCGTAGCGTTGAAATTGTTCGTCTGATTGTCACGGCCTTGAAGAAAAAAAAAACAGCAGTTTCAGCCGATTAATTATTCGAATACAGAACAGGTGTCTGGTTCGTTCTGTAGTAATTAACGTCGCAATTTTCCGATTAATAAAAACATTCTTTATTTATTAGAGATACACGTCTGACGATCATTCTGAACTCTTCGCCCCCCGGAACCTCTGTTCAACCGTGAATCATTTGTATTCTGTAGCTGGATATTTTGAGAAACTAAAACCTTCGGACCCAAGATGCCTATCTACCTTTCATGATCCTTGGACGGCGGGATCTCAAAGATAATCAACTTTACGAATTACGAAATCATAAGAAGTTAGTAAACAGTCCACTCCCACTAGAAAAACTAGAGTCGACCGGGTTCGCTGGCGAAACGGTGATTAGATCAGCATTTTAGAATAGGTCGTCTTGATTAAATGGTATCTTTGGTCCCCCAAAATATTTATCTACATTTAAATAGTCCTTGACTGAACGATCTCTAAGCAACAAAATCCAAACTGATCTACATCGAGTCATCTAAAATTTCTAAAGCTAAGGACGGGTTTCCCGAAATCCCTCAAAACCCAAGAAGTTACATTACATGTTTTTGTCTGGGTTTTGTTTAACTGTAGTCGATGAAGATTTATGCGAAAAATTTATTCAGTCCTCAGTTCTTAAAAAACAAAATCAGCACCTCAAGTTTCGAGAGTCTCGAAATCTTACAAAGTTTCGGATTCGAGTTTCGAGAATTTAAAAACCAGGCGTTCCACCCCACCCCTACCTAAAGCTATCCCAGAATGGACTCTACCTGGTTTTCTGACAGGAGTCTCATATAAGGTTCAACTTCGAAACAGTTATCCAGCATTAGAACGATATCTGGATCCAATTCCGTCTGCGGTTGGGGATCGATCGATGCTCCACGCGCCTTCGTGTCCGATAACGTCGATCTTATGTAACGATTCATTGATCCCTGACGTAATCCGCCCACGAAACTAGATCTCGAGGCTGCAGGGATGTCAAAAACAAGTTAATTATGTATACAGACCGTAACAAAAATATTGCAGGTCAATGGGACACTCGTGAGTCGATTTAGAACAAGTTTTTCCTTAGCAAAAATGTTATCAGACGCTTTGTTAACGAGATATTAACGAACAAACCCCGACCAATCAGAGCGCGAGTCTTCCGGCCGAGTTCCCGCGGTAACGTTGGCTATGCGCTGTGATTGGTAGCCAACGTTACCGCGGGAACTCGGTTGACAGACTCGCGCTCTGATTGGTCGGTGTTTTTTTTTATTAATATCTCGTTAACAAAGCCTCGGATAACATTTTTGCTAAGGAAAAACTTGTTCCAAGTCGCCTCACGAGTGTCCCATTTCAGGGACTTGCAACATTTTTGTTACACCCTGTATATGTACTCGGGGGGGATCCACAAGCTTCTTCACGCGATGCATGCGTGATCGTGGCGACCACGATCGGAGGAAACGCGTGGTAGCCGGCAATTTTCTAATTTCCTACCCGAGAAATCGCGGTGGACGTTGGTCCAGACACCGATTAGCGGTTCCGGCGACACTTGGACTCGTCTTATCATCGCGTTTTCCGCGCCCGAGTGAAGACCCGAGGAGCGTCAACAGCCTCGCGAATCGAGCGTAATTTTGCACTCGTGAGGGAATCGAGGATCTGGAGCTAAAGAGGTGCAGTTCCATTTCTACTAACTGCAATTAAATTAGAAAAACTTGATTTACTGTTGCTTTATCAATCAAATATGGAAAAAATATGTTGACATTTTTTGTAGTCATCAAAAAATAATTCTTTTTGATCGTTGAAATTAATTGGTGGTGAACAGAGTTGGGCATAATTTTGGTCGAATTAATGTTGGGTTGTTCGAGAAGTTCGTAATGTTTTGAAGGGCAGAATAATAATATTATATTTTATTTTAATATAATATTTTTCTTTCAACTTATATTTTCCATATTTTCCATCAAAAAACCCTTCTACCTACATGTAGATGGATTTTATTTTCGAAGTTTCTTTCCTGATACAGAATATTTAATTAACTTTGGGAATCGAGTCAGTTGTCCCGCGAACGTATTTAACTTCGTACGACTGTTGCGTGCCATTATTACGTTTTCCCGTTGTCTCACAAGCACGGAGACTCCGGGCACTGTTTGTTTCCGCGAGCCTCGATCTTCATGAAAGTCAAACAAGACACCGGGCTACCTGGTGAAATGAAATATGCATTCGCGAAATTTGCAATACGTGTTCGACGGTTGAATGAGTAACGTTTGCGAAAATAGCAGCGGATGTGAATCGAAACCCGAGAGTTTGTCGCTATCGAGTTCAGTATTTGTCACTGTCGAGATATCTTCAATAATACTTACAAAATTTATTCACATTCTTTCACCTTATCCTTATTACACCGGTTTCCGAATCCATTATACATTTAGCCGTATCGTTTCTTA